CCTCTTTTTTCCTCCATTAAAATCCCTCCCCTCCCCTTCCTCTCATTGAGCCAAACAGACTCTTAGAATGTGTTTGATATGAGGGATTTGGAGGAGAGGAGAGGGGAGAGGAGGGGAGGGAGGGGAATGATTTTAATCATTTCTTTTTATTTGGCAACACACAAATATTAGGAGGGGAGGGGAAAATTTTGGGAGGGAAAAATTTTTAAAATTTTCCCTCCCCTCCCCTCCTCAACCTCCTCTCCAAAATTAGGAGATTTGGAAGGAAATGACAATATTTTGCCATGCTGTAACTATTATGCCCATATTTTGTCATGTGATGACCATTATGCTTATATCTTAAATAAAATAGGGTAAAATTGTCCATGTCAAAAAAATTTTCCCTCCCCTTCCTCATGAACCAAACAAGGTAATATTAAAATTCCTCCCTTTCTCTCTATTTTTATAAATTCAAACAAGGTAATATTAAAATCTTTCTACTCTCCTTCCCTCCTTTTCCCTCTATTAAAATCCATTCCCTTCCCTTCCCTTCTTCTCGTTGAGCCAAACAAACTCTAAAGACAAAGTAATTACGAAATGGTGGTGGTGGGATCGGGTCCTGCGGTGGTGATGGTGGCATGTCGATCAGTGTGTTCGTGAACTCGTTAATATGACGGCTTACATGCACTTCCCTTATCCTATCCCACTCAATACTAATTATTATTTATGTGATTAGCTTCTGGCACATTACGCAAATAGTGAGTGATACAAATTAAAAATTTATAACTAACGACGCCTAGCCGCTGTGAAGTGGAAAATAATTTTCTTATAATCCTTGCAGTGAAAATTATATGAGAAACTTTGCACAGGCAATGACATATAAATCTTCTGAGCACTCATTGTTTGTCACATAGAATGGGTCACTGGGACTAGCTACGGCGTCCCTAGAGCGAATCCACAATAGTTGAAGTCACACAAATTATGTTTGGGTGTACACATAAATCACTATACAACAGCAAATCTGGTAATATTACTCACATGATTTAATCAGATAAAATGTTTAATCATATAAAAAAAAGTCATTGGAAACAATAAAAAAATATGTAAAGAAGATTTTTATACGTCAAAAATCATATTTTAATGCAAGGGGTGTTACTTGGGAAGAGTGAGACGCTTACATTGCAATAAGTCAACTCCTTTCTTTGCTTTTTTCTTCCTTTATCCCTTTTGGTAAATAAAGAAAATTTCCTTTATATGTTCTTGTCGTCTTTTTTATTTACGTGACTTCGGGCTTGTTTGTTTTTGTTTTTTTTGCTTTCCTGTTCTCAAAATAATTTTATAAAATAATTTTTTAGAACAAGTTTTAAAAACAAAACAAAAAAGAATTTGTTTAGATAATAATTTTAAAAAATCATGTTTAAAAAAAAACCCCGTAAAAAACCATACTTGATAATTGTTGTTGGTAACAATAAGCAGTGAATAGTAGTGAATAGTAGATAAGAAGATAAGAAGTTTTCTCAAAACTTTTTAAAATAAAAAATATAAAAATAAAAACACAAAAACATGTAAAAGTTGTTTTGATTTTTTTATTTTTAAAAACATGTTATTGTTTTTTGTTTTTTAAAACAATCAACTAAAAACAACTTACCACAGAAATTGTTTTATTTTTTTGTTTTTAAAAACAAAAAATTGTTTTTAAAACAGGAAACTAAACAAACCCTTCATCATTCTTGCTTTCCGAGCCATCCTATGCCATTCCTGTGCACTACCTTTATCCTTATCCACTTTGACTTGTTTCTCAAGTCCTCTTCAAATACGTTGGCATCGGTTCTTACCAGATGTGCTGATAGATCTCATTCCTCATTTATGACTCATGAATACATTCATTGAACAAAGCATACGTATATACATATTTATCTTCTTGAAATACTAGTAATATTCGATTTACCCCAAAAATTCTATATTCATATATGTACATATATGTATATATATTAATTATCAAAATATCTATTTAAAAATATATATATCATATCATTATCATTATTATCATAGGATATTACAAAAATCGATCCAAGTCGCGGCTTAACTTCCATTCCGGCTCAATAGCTGGTTCTAAATGGTTCAACATGGTCCAACTATTTAAGCGCTCTAAATATTAAAAACGAATCGTTGTACTACCTTTGATCCTTAATATAAGATCTTGTTTGATTTTTATTTTGATCTTAAATATAAGACTCCAATCCACTTGTCTCTTATATTTATATATATTTTTTCCAATATAGTCTTTCTAACAATAGTAGTTCTAGCCAACACACTTGATTAGCAAAAATATTGTAGAAAAAACAACACTTATTTATTACAAATAACTAACCTAAGTTCTTTACTTAATCTTCTCAAATTAGTTAACTAGCTCTCATAATTAGGAGTGCAGGTAGCATTGTTTAGTCATTAGCCGGGCTGGTCCCATTGTCTGCTCCCAGTTTTAAAACGTTGCTTTCCGAGCTGGAAGAAGCAAAGCTGACCCCACTAAGGGTGTGTTTGTATTAGCAGTAGTAGAAGTGACTTTTTTCTCATCTAACTTCTTCAAACTGAAGTTGGGATAAAAATCAGATAGTGTAATGTGATTTATATTTAGATTAGTTTTTGTAAAAAAGTCAGTTTGATAAACTAAAACTTGTTTAGATGATTAATGAAAAAGTAATTTTAGATATGAAATAATTGAAAAGGACATGCATTTTATTAAGCAATACATATTTAATATCATATGTATATAATGTGACAATTGTAAAAAAAAATAAAAATAAAAATATTAAAAATAAAAATAATTTATTATTAGAAAGAAATTAAAAAAATACTAAAATATTTAATTAAATATATTTAATGTACATAAGAAAACAATACCGCTATGTGTTGATACATAATCAAGTATAATGGTCGAAAGAATCAGCAATTTGTATTATATGCCCTCTATATTAGCAAAGCCAATAAGAAAAAAAGTTGGCACTTATTGTCCACATGCACGTGCTCATTCTTTGCTTTATCCTCATATTTTCATTCTTTTTAAGTTTTCGGCCCTTTAAAGATCAAAGGTGCTGGACCCAACATTCACCGCATCGTTACCGTGAAAAGCAAGATGCAGGAGCTTCTTTCCAAGAGCCCATTTGAATATAAACGTTAGGTTGCTAAAACGTTAGGTCCAAGTGGTAAGCGACTTGGTACCACTTAAGCGAGGTCTCGAGTTCGAGCCTCAGCGTATGCAGAAATTCCCGTTGGGAGACTCACCCACCATAGCCAGGTGCGTGACGCAGGTTAGATCCAGATGTAATCGGAGTAAAGCTTCGGTAAACTGGATGGGCAAAAAAAAAAGAAAAAAGAAGAAAATTACTCTTATCAAAAAATCCAGCTTTTGCCAATTAGGATGCACGTTTGGGGGCTCAAACATGATGTCGAACACACCCTAAGCGTGTAAGCCAAGTGATCCAACATTATGAGTGTAGAGCTGGTTATTTTCAGCAATCCTAGTGAAACCAATTTGATCTTGTATGTATCTAGAGTGAAACGCAATGTTACGAGTCTGTTGCAGCAATCTGGTTATTTTCATGACTTAGTCCCTCCAACAAAAACAGAGCTATTTCGAGCTATTTTTCATATCTTATTCAAACCTTTACCATTAAGGAATTAAGGACCTGTTTGATATAAAACATGGAGAACGAGAGGTAAGAATTAGGATTAGGATTGACAAAATTTATTAAAAGAGTGTTTATTATTAGGGATTGCTTGTTACTTAAGATTGAACAAACTCATTTAAATGGGATTGGAGAGTACCATAAGGAAAAGTAATCCATATCAAAATTCCTCCCCCATGAGGTTATTAATTTGTTAAACAGGGACTAGGACTCAGCACACCATTTTAGGCCTTATAGAGATTGACGGATTTTTTTGACCTATACCACTAAAACTGACAAACCTTGCTAAGATATCTCACAATTTTGAAGAAAATTATTGCATCTTTCATTATGCTCCATCTTTTCCTTAGTTAGGATGGACGATGATAAAGGAAGTTAATTCTTATTTGTTGTAGAGGGTATTTAGATAAAAATCAAAACTATAGTCACAAAATCACTTTTTAATTCAAAACCATGGTTTTGGGATGGGAAATTATGATTTTCCAAAGTGACTTTTTTTTGTTTCACAAGAAGAAAAGTGAATTTTTTGTGCTGTTTGGGGGGAAAAACCGTGGTTTTCTTTAAGATAGAATTACCTTTTTTCCTAAATTATATTCATCTTGTATTAATTAGGATTAATGTGAATCCAATATCCCTAATTATTTTTTTAAGCACATCCAATATCTCAAAACATTTTATGGTATATTTAACATCCTAAAATATCTTATTTTAGATACATTCAACACCCTAAATTATATTTTGGTCAGTGCTAGATGCATTTAGAAAATAATACTTTATGCATTCATGGTGCTGATGCACATTCACCATACGAATTACATTTTTCATGGATTATTTATCATGTTGCCAAAAATAAAAGTTCATTATTACTTTATTACTCTAAAAAAAATATAAATTAAAATTTGTCCTTTATGTCATTATTACATTAATTTGTCTTTTTTTAATCATTTGTGCTAACAACAAGCATCCGAACATTTTCATTCCATTGTAATCATTTTTCTCACAAAATCTATTCTTTTCAAATATATACTCAAAATAACTTTTAATCCAAGCACTCTTGTTTTCGTTTTCTTGAGTTAATGGTATTAGTTTTCATTTAAAGGGAAAAAGACCTCCCCCACCATTTATTAACCAAAAAAAAAAAAGTAACATTCAAATTCATCCACCTCCCCTCTATTAAAAGGGCCTACCACGCTGCTCTATTTCACCACAAGAAAATACAAACTTCATCCGACCAAATGCCTCTTTCTCCTTGATTGCATATCAGCATCAAGAAGGTGAATCTTTCAGTTCACTGCATACTGCTATCCACAAGCAAAAGTGTTTCGGACAATGCTATTAAAGGTGGGGCCAGGGGAAATTGCACATCGTGTTGCAAAATCAAGCGACCGACGATGGTCTGAAAGGCTGTGTTCATGTGCTACATCACTTCTAAAGTTAGTTCCTTCAGTAAATTGCGCTTGAACACTTCCGAGTTATGTTGGCCAAACAAGAACGCATGCATCAAACAGTACAGTTACACATAAACAAGTACAGGATCATATCATAATAAAACACAGTTAAGATGGTTGCTGCATCATCAAACAAACACAGCTAGAACCCATAAAACGAACAAAGCCCACTGAGAGCTAAGGCATGTCCTTTATTCATCATAATTACATCTCAAGGTGGTTTTGAAAGCTTGGATGGATGAAAAAGTCAGCCCTGTTGAGTCCCTTCACGTTTCTGACAAACCAAAAAAGAAACAATGAAGTGTTAGATTGCAGTTAAAAGAACAAACAGATTAAATACCACATTTCTGCGGCAAAGTCAAGGCAGTATAAGAAATCCAATCTCTTTTCACTTCAATCGAAACATCAACACAAAAATAATGTATTATAAAACTGGAAAATCAAAGAAGATCCTAGTTGGCCCCAGGGATGTGCTTATACGTGGCTCTGTGCACATAGTATTAGTTTAGTCAGAAAATTTTGATTAAATTTTATTAATGGCTAAATGGCTGACAAAAGCAAGTGCATGAGTGTTGTTATATTCTCTAGAATTCTTCAAACGCTTCGGTGCACAAAGTGGCAACATAACGCAGAACCCAGTCAAACTTATATCGAGAATGAGAATAAAAAAAGAAAATGAGTGATAAAACGTCGAAGAACACCATAACAGAAAAGGGAGTTACTAAAGAGCAGAGGGAGAAGATACATAAACAGAATTAAAAGTAGAACAGACATTGACGGAGAACTAAATGCTGATGGAAATCACAGAGCCATTTGGGGATTGGACTATCAGAGTATCAACTGTGCAAACAGGAGCTACTAAGACCCTAACAATAGGCCCTATGGAGTGGCACCAGAGTGCACCAAATCCCAACTAGCCATAGCATTGCACCACATGCATCACATTGCAGTCTTGGCATTTAATAAGTAATCCAACATCTTGATACCTTCACCATATCAAATATTGACCCAATGTTAATGATCATCATGTTAACCACATTTTCAACCAGGAAAGTGGCATTCTAGTCCACAGAAGACCACTGCAGATTCAGCCATCATGAGAACAACATCAACAGGAGAACAAGGAAAACTAGACAAGTACATGCCACATGATCCACAATTTGAGTGCTTTGAAAGTAAATATTTTACAGCTTGAAGAAGAAACCTTAGAAGGATGGATTCAACCCATTACTAACCAAATACCACCCCATCATTACCATCTAAACTAGTCCCAAGTAGCTGTTTGTTATCCTTTCTTAAAGGAGACAAGTAGTCTTCAATATGTGAATAATTACGAATGGAAGTCAACAAACAAATTGTCTTTTGATAGTCATCCTATGCTACACATTGTGAATTGTAATTGTAAATACACATAATTAGATACATTGATAGACTGTGATCCTAGTCTATCGTGCCCATACAAACAACAAGCCTTATCCTACTAGGTGGGGTCGGCTACATGAATCACACGACGCCATCGTGCTCTGTCAACAACCCAATCCTTAGATATGTTGTTGATTAGGAGGTCTCGTTCAATGACCTCATTCAGCGTTCTTCTCGGTCTTCCCCTGCCTCTTTTTATGGGACTCCATCTTGTTTGATCCACCCTTCTCACCGGGGCCTCCAAAGGCCTTCTCTGCACATGTCCAAACCATCTTAAGTGATTTTCAACCATTTTCTCTTGGATAGGTGCCACACCGACTCTTGTCCTGATCTTTTCATTTCGAATCCTATCTTTTCTTGTATGACCACACATCCATCTCAACATCCTCATTTCTGCTACTCCGACTTTGTGCTCTTGTTTTCCCTTTATTGCCCAACATTCACTACCATACATCATAGCTGGTCTTATAGCAGTCCGATAAAATTTTCCTTTAAGTTTCTCAGGTACCTTCTTATCGCAAATAACTCCGGTAGCTTTCCTCCACTTTAACCAGCCAGCTTGTATTCTATGAGAAATGTCTCCATCAATTTCCCCATCCTCCTGTATAATGGATCCTAGGTATTTAAACTTTGATACTTGAGGAATAATTTGCTCTCCCATCCTCACCTCCAAATCCCTATTACCTTGCCTCCCTCCAAAATCACAATGCATATATTCTGTTTTGTTCCTGCTCAAACGGAAACCTTTCGACTCCAAAGTCCTTCTCCATAACTCCAAACTAGTGTTAATCTCTTCTTTTGATTCCGCCATAAGAACTATATCATCCGCGAAGAGCATGGACTTAGGGATTCTTTCTTGAACAGTTTTAGTTAGAACATCCAGAACAATGTTGAACAAGTACGGACTCAGAGAGGATCCCTGATGTAGGCCAATCTTAATAGGAAAGTCCTTTGTCTCCCCCCCAAGTGTCCTTACACTGGTAGTTACCGCCTCATACATATCTTGTATGACTTTGATATACGCAACCCGTACACCTTTCTTTTCCAAAGCCTTCCACAATACTTCTCTTGGCACACGATCATAAGCCTTTTCCAGGTCAATAAAAACCATATGTAAATCTCTTCTTTTACTTCTATATCTCTCCATTAACCCCCTTAGTAAATAGATTGCTTCCGATGTGGATCTCCCTGGCATAAATCCAAATTGGTTTTCCGAAATAGAAGTCTCCAACCTCAATCTATATTCCATCACTTTTTCCTACAACTTCATTGTATGACTCATAAGTTTTATCCCCCTGTAGCTTGCACAGTTTTGAATGTATTCTTTATTCTTGTAAATAGGAACTAAAATGCTTTTCCTCCACTCATCCGGCATATTTTTAGAGCGTAGAATTTCATTAAAAAGCTTGGTTAGCCATACCTCCCCCTCATCGCCCTCATTCATAATGAGCATAAATATTTATTCCTTCCCACAAATCATATGAGTAGTTTCAGGTCACCGTGCTGATAGCATACTAAGAGGTGTTCAATATAGAGGTCATGAAACCCAATAGCGCTCCAGAGTGTTCAAGGGATTTATAGCTCAAGAATGCTTACATGAAAGAGGACATAGATCATTCCTTAGGTGATGACATGGACACATGCGGAGCTTAACGTGACATATGTAAAGCCACTCCGAAAACCACCATGGCATATGAGTTATTGGAATATGAACACTTGGACTTTGAGAAAGATAGGAGCACATTCCAAGAACCCAAAAGGAGCATTTGAAACCAATTCCCATGCTGTTGAAGGCCCAACACAATTATATGTGCATGAAGGAGTCTATTGGAGCTATAATCTTTCATATTGGAGCCCAACTACATTGTGTTATGGACCATGGGAGTTCAGAACGCGGTTCAACCATATTCAAGCCTAAATAGATGTCTTAAAAGCCTATACATGCTTATGGATATGAATAACATTTATGAAGATTTATTTGGAAGGTCCAAGAAGATTCAAAAAGCATTAAGAGTGGTCTCATATCACATTGATGAGGATTCTATTGGTTTTAACAAGTTTCCTATTCTATAGTTTCCTATTTTGTATTGATTGCTTTTTGAAAGCAAAGACTTACTTATTTTGTATCACATTAAATAGTAGAAAGTCAAATAAGATCCTTCTTATTAATGAAAGGATCCCACTAAGTAGTGTGTGATCTAGATTATTTTATCTTGACTAACAATATAGAGTATTCTGAAAGGTCTTTTAATTTTCCTAATTTTGTTGTATTTTCATATCTATTTTTGATGCACTTTATTTAGTTATTGTTTTAAGCTCTAATAGCTTATAATAAGTTTTTAGGGCTTATATTACTAATTGGGCTTTTGATATTAGGGTTTTCAAGAGTTTTAGTTTATAGATAATTCATGTGTACTCTTTTCAGAAAGAAGGGATGATTTGAATTATTAATAATATGAGAATTTTATTTCTCATGAGAATACCCGACAATATCAAGGAATTGATCAACCTTGTCCTGTCTTCATGGCTAGAATTGTAAGAGACATGTTCTCTTAAAGTCCTACATCGATCATCCGTTCAATCCCCTCATATCAAGCCCGGATACCCAAAGAAAATCATATGAGAACTTCAACAATGCACTTTATACAAAAAAAAAAAAAGGAAAAAAAAAATACACTGGTAGGAAGAAATATAAAAAATATTGCAAAGAGAACAAGACTATACCTTATCAGTATTTGCTTTCTCTTTCTCAGCCTTTTCCTTTTCAGCCTTTTCCCTCTGTTTCTCCAATCTTTCCCTCTCCCATTTCTGCAGCCAAAAAAAAAAAAAATCAAACAAACAACATAAAAGAGATGGATATTTATGGTAAGTCAGTTATGTTATAGCAGTGTATCGAAATGATCAAGGGCAATATTTGATACACTAACTGAATAGAAATCGTTCAGCCATCTCCATATTTTCATTAACCTTTTACAGCAAAAACAATAAAAAAAACTACATATAACATGTAAACACACACTCGCAAGAAGAACGGCTATCAGAATCTAATCCCATCATATGTTTACAATCTAAAAAGAGCCCATAGTTATGATCAAACTCAGTCAGCTGCATATTAATATCGCAACGTCTTAAATTAACAAACAGGCTAACCTCGTTATACTGCTTTCATTTGGCATAGAGAATCAACCTTTTTTATCGCAAAGCAAACAAGACCATCAAAACTTATCTTCCGCTTCTCAACATCCAAACAGGTGAAAGTCAAAGTAGTGGACAAAATAAAAAGCACCTGGATGTAGACGTTCTCTTTGGCCTGTTCTTCATCACTGAGAATCCGGCCTTTGTCGCTGAAGTAGCGAGTGAATGCGCCCCGACTTGACTCCATCGAACGCGTAACCGATCCTCGATTCAGCACAGATCTCATTGCCATCATCGTCAATAACGTTCCCTGTTCTGTGTTTGCCGGTTGCTTGCTCTCTCGAAGGTTTCGCAGGAAAATGATTCTGTGGGCTACTGAGTCAAACGCCCTAGAAAGTTTCGGTGACCGGTCCGGTCTATGAGCATGGAGCAGATCGGTCTAGGCCGTATGATTCGGTCCAGTACCATGACATGGCAATTGCGGATAAAGCAGACCAGCGGCTTGGTTATGAGCCAGCGCGTGAAGGCGTGGTTAAGTGCCTGTTTGACATCACTTATTTTGAGTTTATAAGTAGCTTATAAGCTCTATAAGCTTGATTGACACAATGGGTCTGTTTGGATCAGTTTTTCTGCAATCGGGCTTTTGCCTGAAAAGCTACAATAGCTATAAGCTAAAATTAACAGCTTATGACTTATAGCTTATGGCTTATAGCTTTTGAAATATGGAGAGAGAGAAAGTTAAGAAATTTATTACCTCTTTTAGTTCTTATTATAAGCCTCAAATAATTAATTTGTAGATAATAAAAAATCAGTTAAAATTAGTTGAAAGTAATGAATAAGTTAGAAATATATTTTTATTTTTAAATATGCTCCTAAAAATATACTTTTATTTTTTCATGTTTCATTTTATATTTAAAATATTTTTTATGACTTCTTCATATTAAATTATTTTAATTTCATTGTATTATATGAAATTATTTTTTTAATCATGTTTCATTATTTATTAAAATTCATATCTATTTTGGTCATTTTACAACCAAACTTACTTTTACTCAATCACAATCCAAACAACCTTTTACCAATCTTACTTTTGTAATCTAGCTTTTCTGAACTTTAATCCAAATACAATTCAGCTTATCCAATTTAGTTTTTATCCAATTTCACTTCTCTATAAGCTACTTTTTTAATAAGCTACTTTTCTAATCGTTGATCCAAACGGACCCTAAAGCGATGCGATCTAAAATAGCCAGCGTCTTGCCAGTCCAAGCCTCCTAAATTTTTTTAAAATAAAAAACTATTATTATTAATATAGGTTGAGTTTAGTTTGAAATGTTGAAATTGAATTTGAAGTCTTAAACTTAGGCAGTGAATTGTAATAAAATAATATGAGTATTAATTTATAATTTAAGAACATATTTTAAAAAAATTAACACATATTATTTATAAATAATTAATTTAACTAGTTTATTTATTCAAATTAATTAAGTAGATCTTTGATGTATGTGTACATATATAAGTATCACATGTTTATTTAATATTATAAAGGCCTGTATAGTAACGTAACAAATAGACAAAAATAAAACATGGATGATGCTCTTTATATAACTATATATAGAGTGCTTAATTATATATATGTAGTGATATGAATGGGGCAATATACATCTGGAACTTGAGAAACAAAATTCTCCATGTTATATAATATGTTGAGAATTATATGAAAAATTAAAAAAGAAAGAAACGAAGGGGAAAAAAAAAGTGGATAAGTTCGTCAACTCGTGAGCTAACTTGTAGTGGAGCGGGCCTAAAATGATACAGGCTGGAATAGGTCATACCTTGGAGGGTTAGCGTTTTTGACAGATTGCCGACTTTGCATGGCATCATCTATTCTATTTATAATACATTATTGTGCCTTTTTTTTTTTTTAACAAGCAAACGAAAAATGACATACATAGTAATAACATGGTTCTTGCAAGTTACAAATGCTTAACAATCCGATCTTAGTAGAAGTAAAATTAAGGAAACAAGATTTGAAAATAACATCAATATTAGACATTGAAAAATTATGGATGAAGGCCAAATGACGTTGAGGAGAGGAGATGCATTGGCAGGAATGTGAAGAAGTTTCTTTTCGATACAGTAGACTTGCACAGATAGCTTGTGAATAGTAATTCTCAAATTGGAGTTATAGATTCATAGAAGAAAGGCTAGCAAGCATTTTGCATCCAATGCCTTGCAATACCTTGGTTTGGCCATAAAATTTTTTTGAGGGGGCATCCCCTGGTAGCATATGATACTATGATAATAATATCTTCTCAATTTTTTGTATTTATAGAACAGGACATCCCGGCCATCATTGTTTTTTTAAACTAAGAATTTTTTTATACAAATAAAAATTTAAATGAATTGGATCCCAAGAACTTATTAGGGCCAAGACATGTTTTCAGGCTCAAAGAATGCTTATAAAGATACTTATGGATCGCCAATTAATAAGATTTTCATATCAACAACAAAATTTAATTTTATAACTTTGTAAATTATGAGTTGACTCCTTATTAATTGATCCAACTATTGTATATAGCACTGTTGTCAAACTCGCAAGTTGACTCTCCGAGTTTGACGTTTTTACGTTTTCAGCTAACAAAATCGTGTCGACTTCATTTTTAAACTCGTGATAACTGTAAACTCGGTTAAACTTACGAGTTCATTTACTGAGTTTACCATTTTTACGTTTTTAGCTTATAAAATCGTGTCAACTTTATCCTTATTTAATATATATACCGTTCAAGAAATAAACTTTATCTCTAAATTTTTGAATTTGATTATATTTAGTGACTTTATATATGATTTTTATGAAAATTTCTTTGTTGAATATGATATATTATGAACATTGATAGATATAATTTTAATTATTTAAATTTAAAATATATTTAAATAAAATTTTTCTCATTTTTTATATATTAATTATTTGATTATATACTTTTAATATCAATTTATTAATAAAATAAACTCTTACGAGTTCATGATTTGAATTTATGATCTGAGTTTATATTATTATCATTACGAGTTTGTTTAACCTCACGAGTTTGACAATTTTAGTATATAGAATTGTTCAATCGACGCATAATTAATGTCCTCCTAATGATTGGCTCAATCGTTGGAAACAGGTCTCCCAGGCCCATTCATAACCAAATGCCCCAAGGCCCAGAAACACGTCAACCAACCAAATGGGCAAAATAGTAACACTATAAAACCGACGGATTAGGCTAAGATGGGTATTTGGGTAGGGGATCCACTGCCGGCCCGGACCTAGATCCATTTCCATTTGCGCCCCTTGCCCAACCCAAAATGTCGCCGCCACGCTCCCTTTTTTCGGTTTTTGGATGCTATGGAAATATTACCGCCACAGTCTAATTCCATTACCATCCTCCTCCTTTTTCATGATCGAAGAATTTTGAACAAACAATTTCTCGACTCCCACCCGAAGCTTCTAGGTCCCTCTGCCTCTCTCCCTATCTGATCCGAGTTTGGAGTCCAATGGTTCATTCCTGTTCTTCATCCTCTTCTATATATCTCTTTATATCTTTTCTGATTCTTGTATTTCACTTTTTGTTGTCATTTACTCATTCACCGGTGATTCATGGTGGGTTTTTGGGCGACGCATGAATTCTTCATTTTTATTCTCTGTACTTTATATTTCTCTTTCGTTTCATTCGGCCTGTTTCTTTTTGTAACTATTTCCTTTAAAATATTTTTCGTTTGAGTATAAGTTGGGTTTTTTTTTTTAATTAAAGGAACGCTAAGTTCTGAATTTTATTTTTTGCAATTATGATGACGCCTCATTGGGAACTCTTTACTGTTTACATGGATTCAGCTTCTGTAATCTACCCGTCTTGTTGTCTTATTTCTTTTTGTATTTCTGTATTAGTTCACCTGCTATAAAATTTCCCTTGAAATTTAAAGATGCTAAACATAATATTGTGAATCTTGAATTTTGTAGGATGCCACAAAGTCAAATATAGCTGTCCTGGCATGTACCGATGATGCTGTCCTTCCTGTCAGTACTGTCTTTGAGTCGATGGGAGAAATTGGAAATGGAGGGGTTGAGCATTGTGATCCTCTAGTCCTCACATGTGCATCGTCTCTAAGTAATGTTCTGAATTTGATTGCATATTTGTTATGCTTGCAGTTACTTTGCTTTATAAGTGCAACTTAGTCTTCTAACAGATATGCAATGAGCGTGGAGGAGAGCTTTATCATCATGTTTATCAGGCCAAAAGGAAAAAATCATTATGACTGCCTTTTTTTCCTGGTTAATAATTTTGTTTGTAAGAAACTAGGTTTTAGCCCTGAACTAATGTCTAATTATGAGTTGAGTACATAGACTTTTTAAAAAAAAAAAAAAAGTAGAAAAATAAAATAGTTTCCTTTATTTTTTTTCAAGGACAAAAAAATTCCAAAGTTTGATAATGTTCACTCATCAAGGGAACTAAGTGTCGCTGGATTCGTAGTTAAACTGCTTTCATACATTGAAACAGGAGATTCACAATCAAATGATAATTATTGATAGAGTATAGCACTAGCTACAACGTGCGCTTATCCATGGCAAGAGTTTATGTACTTGTAGTTTATTTTTCTTGTCTTTTTTTTTTTAATGCCTGGTGTTTCTCAATGGCAATCGTGAGAATGTATGTGTACCCTTCAATGGAATTAATGTGTTGCAGTATTCAAAGCTAGACTTCCCAAAAGGGAAAAGAATTTTTGAGGGTGAAATTTCACCTTTCCCTGCACCAAATTTGGCTCTTATAAAGATGCAATTTCCGTCCAAATGTCATATTTTCTTTTTGGTGCTTTTATAATATTTTATTGGTAGCTAAGGAAGCCAATTTTCTGTCTGATTTTCTTGGAAAACAGGCAAGTTGCCAGTGGAATCTTCCTCTATCGATATTGTAATTTTAATCTGGCAATCTCTTGACTGCCCTCCTGATCAACTGGTTCAAGAAACACTGAGAGTATTAAAAGTAGGAGGGTCAACTTTTATTCGCAAGCCTTCTCAGTCTGCTTCGGGTTCAGTTGACAAGGTAATAATCAGGTTCATTGTGCCTGGGAAGAATTATATTATTAATTGTGGATGGCAAAACTCCTGGGTTTGAATTGGATATTTTGACGGTTAATTCAAAATTGAGAATGTTTTTGCAACTTATTACATGACTAATGGCATAAGAATAGTGTATCTGGTTATGGATTTTGTACTTTCTATTGATATTGATTTTAAATCTTTTGCATTAAAATGATATATTTTGTGCTCATAGAGTTTGCCCTAAAAAGAGGATGAGAGTGGATTAAATAACAAAGTGATGGGGCGTAAGTTAATTGTGTGCTTAAAGAGTATTGAAAATTCACTCTGCCATATTATTTCATATGATGTGGGTACAATATATAGAGTCTCATACTACCGGTTACAATCAATCAGTAATAAATGAAAGATATTGCAATATCACAAGTAATCAGGAATTCATTGTCTAGCTAGAATCATGGGTAAATCATGGAGAGAATAAAGGGAGAGAATCAGGGAGAGAATCAAGGGCTTCTAACACTCCCCCTCAAGCTGGAGAGTAGATGTCAACCATTCCCAGCTTGCTTCGAAGCCCTTCAAACTTGACTCTGGCTAACGGTTTGGTCATGATGTCAGCAATCTGATCAGTTGAACGCACATAGTTCAAGTTAATGATGCCATCCTCGACCTTTTCTTTGATGAAGTGCCGATCAATGTCAACATGCTTTGTTCGGTCGTGATACACAGGATTTTGGTCATTTCAATGCTGGCTTGATTGTCACACCAGAGATTCATAGGTCCTTCATAGGAGATTCTCAATTCCTTCAGAAGTCTAATCACCCACATTCCTTCACATACCCCCAGGGCTACAGCTCTTAGCTCAGCCTCAGCACTGCTTCTTGAGACTACTGTCTGTTTCTTGCTTCGCCAAGTGACTAAGTTTCCCCAAACATAAGTACAGTATCCTGTGACAGATCTTCTGTTATCCACAGCTCTCCCATGATCTGCATCAGTGTAGACCTCGATGCTCCTTGTACTCCCCTTTTTAAAGAATAGTCCTCTTCCAGGGTTGAGTTTGAGGTAGGTGAGGATTCTGTATACTGCTTCCATGTGTTCTTCCTGGGGTTGATGCATAAATTGGCTTACCACTCCAACTGCATAACTAATGTCAGGCCTTGTATGAGTCAAGTAGATTAGTTTGCCCACAAGTCTTCTGTACCTTTCTGAGTTAACTGGTGTCCCTTTTGGTTTCACTTCCAGATTGCATGACTCTTCCATAGGAGTCTCACTAGGTTTAGCCCCAAGTATTCCTGTTTCGTGGAGTAAGTCCAGTGTGTACTTTCGTTGAGACACACTTATACCCTTTTTGGATCTAGCAACCTCCATTCCAAGAAGGTACTTCATTTGGCCTAGATCCTTCACTTGGAATTCCCTAGCCAGGGCCTTCTTGAGGTGGGAGATAGAAACCTCATCACTGCCAGCTATGACTATATCATCCACATACACAATTAGGATCGTTACCTTTCCATCACTGTGTTTGACGAAAAGAGTGTGATCAGCTTGTCCTTGAATGTAGCCAAACCTTTTGATCGCTTTGGCAAACCTGTCGAACCATGCTCGTGGAGATTGTTTCAGGCCATATAATGATTTCTTCAATTTGCAAACTGAGTTGGGCGGAGCTATTACTCCATCTGGAATTTCCATGTACACTTCCTCCTCCAAATCTCCATTTAGGAAAGCATTCTTCACATCTAGTTGATGTAGGGGCCAATCAAGGTTGGCAGCTAGGGACAGGAGTACCTGGATGGTGTTGAATTTTGCCACAGGAGCAAACGTTTCTTGATAATCAATCCCATAGGTTTGGGTGTACCCTTTGGCAACTAATCTTCCTTTGTACTTGTTGATGCTGCCATCAGGATTGAATTTAGGGGTGAAGATCCACCTGCAACCCACTGCTTTCTTGCCTTAGGAAGTGTGGTGATATCCCACGTGTTATTCTCCTTCAAGGCTCTCAACTCCTCATATGCAGCATGTTTCCAATTAGGATCTGTTACAGCCTGTTGAAATGTTTCTGGAATTTTCACCTGTGAGCTATTCACTACAAAAGTTTGCATTCTCGCAGATAAATTGCCATAGGAGACAAATTTTTGAATAGGATGTTGAGTACACGATCTTACCCCCTTTCTAAGTGCAATAGGCCATCCCAGTTCTTCAGGATCCAACTCCGGATTGGAATCATGTTGCTGCCTTGGAATGGAAGGAACCCTACTACTACTGTCCTGTTCACCTGATTGAGGACTTGAGTGCTCTGTCACCCCTGCATCAATTTCAGCATTGGTTTCCATTGGGTGAGGGATGTTTGTGGAGTTTTGGTGTTCTGGAGAAGGTGTAGTAGTAGGGGTTTTTGGTTCCGTTTCCGGTTCAGGGATGTTGTCTTGAGGCGGTATGGTTATAGGTTCGGATGTAATTAGCCATTCTACTCCATAGTGCTCCCCCTGAATGGGTAATTTGGGATAGTAAGCATCATCCTCATAAAAGACTGTGTCTTTGGAGATTATAAGTTTTCTGGTGGTGGGACAATAACACTTGTACCCCTTTTTGGTGGAGGAATACCCGAGGAAAATGCATTTTTCTGCTCTAGCACCTAGTTTGCCTCCATCATGTTTATGGACAAAGACGACACACCCAAAGACCTTTTGAGGGATGGTATTGATGATAGGTGAAGTGGGGTAAGTCTCGAGGAGCTTTTGAATAGGGGTACTAAAGTGGAGAATTTTAGAGGCCATGCGGTTGATAAGATAGGCTGCGGTTAGTACAGCATCTCCCCAAAACAGATTTGGAACATTTCTTTCCATCATAATAGCTCGGGTCACTTCCAAAAGGTGTCTATTCTTTCGCTCAGCAACTCCATTTTGTTGAGGAGTATAAACACATGAGGTTTGGTGATGGATTCCCTCCTGCTCAAGAAATTCCCTAAAGGCTCCACTCACATACTCTTTGGCATTGTCACTTCTCAGGACTTTGATGGTAGTTTGGAATTGGGTTCTCACAAACGAGTAAAAGTTTTTGAAAATTTGTAGGGCTTCGGATTTCTCTTTCATAAGGTAAACCCATGTGACCCGGGTGTGATCATCTATGAATGTGATAAACCACTTTGTGCCTGTTCGGGTGTTGGTTTTGGCTGGTCCCCAAATGTCGGTATGGATCATTGTGAACGGGGTAGAAGGTTTGTAAGTATGTTTGGGATAAGAGGCGCGAGTTTGTTTAGCAATTTGACACGTTTCACATTGGAAAGGAGAAGAATTTTTATTGAATAAAGTTGGAAACACATGCTTCATATAATCAAAGCTGGGGTGGCCTAATCTTTGATGCCACAACATTACATTTTTATTCTGAGAGTTGGAGCTAACCATAGCTTTCTTTGCTCCTGCTGTCTTCATATCCTTTCCTTCAAAGTAGTAGAGTCCATCCCATTCTTTAGCAGTCAAAATCTTCCTCCCCGAGGTCGAATCCTGAAAAACACATTTAACATCATCAAATATCACCCGACATGCTTTCCCTTTAGTTAATTTGCTCACAGAAATAAGATTGCAAGTAAGAGCAGGGACAAACAAAACATTATGGATTTCCAGATCTTCAGATAGAGCCACACTGCCAACACCCTCAACTTTAGTATACAGTCCAGTTGCCACTTTTACTCTAAGGTTCTCATGGCAATATTTGAGGGTTTTGAAGAAGGACTTATTACCAGTCATGTGATCTGTAGCACCGGAGTCAACAATCCAAGTCTCATCACTAGTTATCATTGCATTGAGGGCTATAATGGAATTACCTGACTGTATCAAGTTCACGTTGGGAACAGATTTTGATTTGTTTTGTTTTTCAAGTATCTTACGAAGCATTTGAAGCTCTTCTCTGGTCAATTGGTCTCCATCATCACCTTTTTCTTCAGAGGAGGTGTGGTGGCTCCTTCTATCTTCCCGTTGTTTCTGTTTCCCTTGAGTTGGTTTCCCATGTAGTTTCCAGCATTCATCTCTGGTGTGGCCTCTCTTGTTACAGTGGTTGCACCACTTGTTCCCTTTCTTCTCAGGGCCCTCTGATGTCTGGAACCCCCTCGTCACCAATGCCGAGCCCTCTGTTGCGGTCAGGCTGCCTTGAGTGAGGTGTCTTCGGCTTTCTTCGAACTTAACCATACTGAAGACTTCAAATAGGGATGGCAGCGGCTTCAGTCCCATAATTCTCCCTCTCACTTCTTCAAAAACATCATTCAGGCCCAACAGAAAGTCATATGTTCGTCCTCTTTCCACCAGTTGTCTGTAGTAATTAGCATCATCCATATCTTTCCAAGGATGTACTTCAAAGAGGTCCAATTGCTGCCATATCTTTGTCAACGTACTGTAGTATTGAGTCACAGTTAAGTTGCCTTGTTTCAGATCTTTGAGCTGCCTCTTTAGATCTAATAAGGCTGCAGTGTTATCGAGGGTAGAGTAGGTCCGCTTAGCAGCATCCCAGATTTCCTTGGCTGTACTTGCAAGAAGGTATCCTTCACTGATTTCGAGAGTCATTGAATTGCACAACCAAGACATCACCTGATTATTTTCAGCGAACCAGGTATCAAATTTGGGATCATTATGCGAAGGTTGTGTTGCTTCTCCATTGATATACTTCTCCTTACGCTTCCCACGCAGATACATTAATACACTTTGAGACCATTGGAGATAATTGCTTCCATTAAGTTTGTGGGCTACCCCTATAGCTTGAGGTTCAGCGGCTACTGTCAGATCTGAAGAAGGAGTAACCACCGGTGAAGAAGGAGTAGCTTGAGTATTTGAAGATGTACCGGACATGAGAACCCTTGGAATATTGCGAACAGACCCAAAAAGTGGTGGGAATTCTGGGTTATCCATCTTCTGGGTCTCTGGGAGGTACTGGAGGTCTCTGGCGGCGGCACGTGGGCGGCACGCGCTGGTACAGTGGCGGGGCGTGGCGGCGCGTGGGATTCACGCGCGGAACTTGTAACGGCGT